ACGGCGACTATATCACTGATTGAGCTTGTCTTTTATTGTATAAAAAACGATGTAAAATTTGTGTTGTTAGTGTCGCATTATTTTCTGGACAACCCAACACTTTAAAGCAAGGTGTTTCTGCATCTTCCCTATGAAGCTCTTCTAGTTCCAAAATTGAAACACAGAAACCCAATTTCAATCATCTGTGAACATAGAGCTGCGAGAAAAACTAAGTATTGATGTAGCAAGCCAAAACATCTGTGGAGAAACATGTCGTTCACAAATTTCACACCTCTCTACAACCATTAGGAATGAGACATCGTCATCGTCTCGGGACCGAATTGCTCAGAAGGGTATAACCCGCCATTTCGACACAACAATTCAGTAGACACTCCAGCAGAACTATTCGTTGGTTTACAATGATTATGCGTTTTCCTCCTCACTGATCGATCAGTGATTGTATCAATACTTTTTGCTGAATATTAACTACCTGAAGCAGCAGTGTTGCAATTCCATACGTCAGTAAGTTAGCTGCAGATTCCCCGCTATACTTCACGACGTTACCACATCTATTGTTGAAGTTGAACCTGATGAAAGCTCAAGGTCAGATTTTCTGTAAAATCTGATTGAAGCTATCGTGATAATGAAGAATGTGTCACTTCTAGGTCAACCGGCAATTGAAAAATTACTCTGTAGTATTCTGTCAAGTCTCTATGAAATTGTCTATGAAATCTCTGCTCTATTATGTGAATCTGGCCACGAAGTGAATCAAGTAGCGAACGCTGCAGAAGTTCGTCAAAGCCTGAAGCCCTGTCTGTCATTGTTGATTCAGAGCCCTGCATCAAGGATGACAGACAGGCCCTGCCACTACGCTTCTCTGACCAAGGGTTCCATTGCGGGCAGCTGCACATTTCAATTGCCAATATCTTTCCAAGCTTGCGCATGCAAATTTTCCCCGAATTGTTTGGCAGACTCACTCAGAAGTTTCTATTTTTGTATTATCTATCTAGCATTCGAAGCTCTGTCGATATGGCTAGATCTCTAATGAAAGTTACATGAGAATTTGATTCCCTAGCCAGTGAACCTTTAGTAGAAATCCTGTGACTAGCGTGAATCTCGATGGAGATCGGTGATAATGAGGTCGAAAAGCTATGCGAGGTCTATTCCCATTACCTTTTTTCATGGTCATTCGAATGTTTTGAACTCAATTTCCATTCCCTCAGCGCTTTGACAGTGGTACTCAAGATCGTGGTACTTTCTTAAGCACCCGTCACTGCACTTGATTCAAAGCGGTAATTCGGAGATTGTAATAGAATCATAAGACGACGTACTTCAAATTGTCTTCCCAGGACACTCAATTCATATATAGCATCGTTCCTCAATTTCTTCTTACAGCCTTTGCCCCATCAAATGACTTGTCTAACACCTCTCCATTTGTTTTTGTGTTGAAAATGGGTGCATCAGCTTACTAAAATGAGGCCACCTCACCTTATTCGATTTACCTAGTAACGCAGTCGCAGTAATAACACGTTCACGTAATCATTACACGCGTTTCACACATTTGATCTTTTCCATGAAGAGAAGTAGCGCAACGACGATTCCTTTGTAATAGCTTATATCAGTGGTTTTATAAAAGAAATAGACGGGATAAAAATCTGTCTAGGGCGCCTTGAGCATCATATCACAAACGAATTGGGCTACTTCAAGCACCACGCCGGTGAAAACGAAGGTCTGGAAAGCGATCATAGAAATGAAGGTATTGCTTTTGTTCAGCTGCTTTTTTTTGTGCCCCTCTTTGACGTACACCTGTCTTTCTCGAATAGCTTATTTTATGCGATAGCTCCTGGAAGAGTGTTCGTGCTAAACTATTGTTCTATAAATCATAGTTTTATCACAAAGCTACAGCTGCAGGTCGCGAAATCTTTTTATGTTTCACATAGTTCCCTTTTATCTATGGTAATACTGCAGCAGTATTCACCCAACTACTTTGAGGTTTCTACTGAGAGTCCAGGGGAAGAGTTGATCCTTGCTAGCTGCCAGCCCTCCGACCATTTGCCTGTCTCTCGGTCTGTCTGTCTGTGCATCTTACTGCCTGTCATTAAGTTCGATACTACCTGGAAAATACCTGGAGAGTGTGTATCAGTAAGGAATGGGTTGAGCAAGGTAGGCACGTTAGGTGTGAGAATAGCAGAGCTACGCCCTCAGAGGTCGCGGAGCTGGGCGGCGCTACAGGTAATACTTTTAAACTTGGTCCGAGGCTAGGCGTTTGTTAGAGGCTATCTAGGAGATGGGTGCAACTCGTCATTGTGGCGAGAATTCCGTTGAGTGGGAGCAGCTGATCCATCAGCTCTCTTACAAACGCATTCATACAACTGCATTGTGAATTGTTCGGTTCCATGGAACAAAGGAAACGTGGTTTGACTCTCGTCCGGCGAGGGCTTCGTTTCGTTTCGTTGCTCTTTTTCACTATACATATTGCCGATCGCGTGAGCCGCGCCGTACCACTCAGAGTACCTGAATGATCGAAAATTTTAGTTTCAGACTGACTAGTAAAAAAGACCATATAGGCTTGAATTCGCCTGAATTAAATTTCAAAATTTTGGCGACGGATATAATGATCGCCATATCGGTTTAATTCATCTGCGAGAATTGAACCATAAAGATTCGCTTAGGTTGTCGACTATCCAGATGTGATTGACATGTACGATGATCTTTGGAATGACATAGGTAAACTGCAGAAACCAGCCAGAAAGCATTATGTGAGTTGCAAGTAGTTCAGGACGAATATAAGCACAGAAAATACCCAAACAATCAGTTTTAGGAATGTCCGAAACTAACGGCTTTCTGCAACGAGTGGTTCAAAGATCTCCCGAAGACCGGCGATTGGACGGCATTCAAGGATCCGAAAATTCTAGAAAGCGCTCGAGATGCCAGAGCTGCTAGGAGAGCCGCTGACAAAAGGTTTCCTTTTTTACTGAGCCTTGCAAACATGCGACTCCGTCAATTTGTTACGCACATTTACTGCAATCCCGTATTGCAGAACGATATATCAAAAGCGCGAAATCTGGGGAAATCAATCATTAGCTTTAAAGTTTTCAAGGAAAGATGGGATAAGGTAAAGAAAGGATAGGGACACAGAAGACAAGGGTACAGAAAGGATAGAGAAGTGACGGATTTTTGTTGTACATTCCCATTTTCTCTAACAAGCTTTCTGCTGCTTACCACTCGGACCGCCCGGCTTTCGCTTCTCTTTTTCTTATTCGAAATGATTCAATACTGAGGAGTCCTTTATAGCCGAGGAAACAGCTTACAAGTGAGGGATACTGGATGAGCAACTGCCGTTCAAAATGAGATGTGTACCCACATACGTTTTTGGACACTGATGTCAAATCCACATTCCAAATTTGCGAAACGATTCTGGGAAGACGATACAGGAACACATCTTCCATGTAGTATAGGGTTTTGAGGTCGAGTCGCTGAACCAGACCTGAAAAGACGGCGCAACAGGTGAGGCGATGGACCTGGCATGGGGGTTTGCCTCCCGTGTGCATGAACTTGTTTTGCACTTTCATAAAATGTATGCTGAAGGCTTGCAAGTCAGTTTTACATCTCCCGCTAACTGTAGCACATATTTCCCATTATGTATACAATATGACCGTCATTGAGGGGAAGAAAGTACACCCACTAGCTGACCTCGTTTGAAATTGGAGGAAAGAAAAAAATATTTGAAGGAATCAACAGCAAGCGATTAGCGGGGTTAGTTCCCTGAAAACTTCGAGTGGTTTTTCGGGCAAGGCAATACTGAGGCAATCCATACTGCATACATATATAAACCACCAATGCCCCTCTCTTTGTCTGTTCGTCGGTTTGTCGGTTTGTCGGCTTGCCTGTTTGTCTGTTTGAGCCAACTCATATGACGCCTTCTGAAAATCTAACTGGAACAGCATAGCCAAGTTGGGACAAGAGGGAATGAGCCTTCGAAATCCGAAGTGGAGCTTGCGCGAAAAGTGTAATCCACCGGAAATAAATAATACTGATCTTGTGGGCTTACAGTGCAACTCGAAGTGATACAAGGGCGAAGTGGGTACACTAGTGGTACGTGGCGGATCTGCTCACTGGTGGCTGGGAGTGCGTAAAAATTGTCAATTTGAGCCTGAGGAGTTCGAATTTGGAGGGGAGACCTCATGGTGGGTGGCAGGACTGTAATCCGGGAGGATGGCAAAGCGATCGGCAATCTGATCTGAAGGCCTTCTGAATTATGTAGCGTTAATTCGCAACACCTCCACAAGTGTAGCTTTCTTGTGTGGTAGAGATACACTCTCAAGGTAGGGATATCCCGCTGTGGGAATGTTGACCTACATACAGTACAGGCCGGTCAGTGAAGTATTCGTTTTCACTTTTTCAAACACAACTTCCTCAAAACTCAAGATTTCTGCTAGAAACTCAAGCAGTAGAAAACTTAGGCAGTTAGTAATATTACACTGCTGTAATGGCCCAGCAGCACATTTTCAAGCAAAACTGGCGCTTTATTTTCAAATCACCCGCCAACACACATTTCTACCTTCTATAACTGGTGGGTTTTTATATCAAAAATTTCGGGTGGTTCTTAATGTTTTGAGTCACGTCATGCACCCACTACGTTATTAAGGCTATGGCAAGGCATACCGGAATCCGTAACTTGCGGCAAGACCAAGTTGATGCCATAATTCGGAGCTTCCACGCAGGGTTAACATCAAGGCAAGTTTCAGAAACTCAAGGAGTGACAGTAAGATGTGTTCAAAGAATTTGGAAGAAATATAAGGACACAGGGTCGGTAGAAGTCAAAAAACACCCAGGAGCAGCGAGAACGACGTCTCCTCTTGGGGATAGGAACATTGTGCGGCTTGCAAGGGACGATCCGAGTCTCACTGCAGCCGAGATTCTTCGCGAAGTATCGACGCCCGAAGGACCGAACCCATCTTTGAGCACTGTACAATGTTGACTGAGAGAGGGCGGTTTGTTTGGACGACGTCTAGCAAGGAAACCACTGATTTCCGCCATGAATCGCAAAGCGCGTCTCGACTGG